AACACTCACCAACAGGTGAATCCTAGGGAAGGAGGCACAGTTTAGTCCATAGCACCTGCCTCCCTCACAATAAAGCAAATGAAGTAAGAATCTGATGGAGTTACACAAAGGCACATTAAGAGGCTGCAGTTACCAAAGTTGGTCTGTTCTTAATTTCATATTCCTTTCTGCATAATAAGGATTTGATCTTGTAACATGTTTGTTTGAGGCAGTTATTAAGATGAGACCAGATGAAATTCAAAGTTGTCTTATTTCTAACCTTTTAACAATTCAATTTTGCATTAATTTTGTTAGGTTAACTACACCCAATTCTTATTTGATTACTTTTCAATACTTATTTCTTTGCTTAATTTTGACCTCAACTTTTATTAACATAGCTACCTCAAAATATTACCTATTAAGGGAATTAGTGAGATAGAATGTTTTCCATAATTGTTGAGCAAGGTGTTATTGTTCTTTAAAATTAATTATATCAGTTTAATATAACTACTACTACTACTCTTTTTCTACCCCACCCACTCCGGCCTGGGGATTGAATTTAGGGGCACTCTATCACTGAGCTATACTCGCAGACCTTTTTTTTTGAGACAGGATCCTTACTAAGTTGTCTAAGCTGTCCTCCAACTTAGATCCTCCTGCCTTTGTCTCCTGAGTAGCTGGGGTGTGCACCACTGTGCCCAGCTTTAATATAACTTCTGTATGAGGTTCAGTGCTTTTACTCTGTAAGGAAATTAATGCTTAAGCAATCTTCTCCAAAACATAACTATCAAGCAATAAAAGTGAGATTCTTAATCTCTGCATTTTTCATTGTGGAGCATACCATTTACAGAAACTTCATTAGTAGATGTTTGATTACCCATAACATCAGCAAGAAGCAAAACCATTTTTAGTGGGGAGAATTTTGATATTTCGAATGAATTTTGACATTTCAAATTAGTCACCAAGGGAACTATATCAAAACCTCAGTGAACTTTCTTAACTCTTAATTTTGGGTTTAACATATGCACCCTGCAAGCACATTCAAAACTATACATGTTTTAAATGTTTCTTAGGAGAGTCTAAAATGGAGGATAATATATCTTGTCAATCATTAGGGTATATAAAGATGTTAATTTACAGGAGACTCAGGCAGGAAGATCACAAGTTCATGGCTATCCTCAGGAACTTAGTGAGGCCCTGTCTCAAAATAAAAAGGACTGGGAATGTGGCTCAGTGGTATAACACCCCTGGGATGAATCCTCAGTAAAAAAAAATAATAATAATAATAATAATAATCCAATCTCGTTTATGGAGACATTTTAAAAACATTTAAATAACCTATATTTATATAATCATCCTTGATTTGTGTTCTTCTTAATATCAAAAATGTATTTTAAATGAGCTGCAGTTCTATTGTTAGCTCTTAAGATAGAAGACAGGGTCAGCCTTCTCTGGTGGCAGAAGAGCTCTTGAGCAGTTAACATTTGGTTGAATTCTGTACCAGTCAGGGTGAGTGTAAGGTCCATCCACCACCATATTGTTTTTATTGAGTGGTAACCATGCTCTGTCAGAGTGCTTTTTTGCAAAACACTGAAGAATACACACAGGAAGGCTGCCTCTGGAAAAATCAATACATTTCTAATTTTTCCCATGATATATATTCTCAGTGCTTTCACAAATTTAAAATTCTATAAGGAACTTTTTTTTTTCCCCCACTGGGGGGAAAAAGAAGAAGTAACTAACAGAATCAGTGGTCTCAACTTAGACTTTTTATTAATACCTTTTGTTGAACTTTTTGTTTTTTTGGTACCTGCGAGGTGTTTAACCACTGAGCCACGTTCTTAGCCTGTTTTTATTGTTTATTTTGAAACAGGGTCTCATTGAGTTGCTAAGACTGGATTTGAACTTGTGATTCTCCTTTCCTCAGACTCCTGAATCACTGGGATTACAGGCATGCACCACCCCGCCTGGCTTGTTGAACTTTTTATAAATGTGCTTGGATTTCTACTTCAAACCTGTTGCCTTAGCCAGTTTTTGCATTTCTGTGACCAAAACACCTGGCAAGAACAACTTAGAGGAGGAAAAGTTTATTTGGGACTCACAGTTTCAGAAGTCTCAGTCCATAGGTGGCCAACTCATGCAAAATGAGGCAGCATATCATAGGAGAAGGATTCAGCACAGGGAAACTGCTCCCTTTGTGGTAGCAAGGAAGCAGAGAAAGAGAAAAGAGGGAAAGGGGACATAGGAAAGATTTACCCTTTCCAGGGCTCACATCCAAACCATAACACAATTAATAGACTTCTCCTAGCTAATTCTAATGCATGTCTATGATTATCAATCGCTGGGTCAATCAGTGATTCTCAAAAGTGTGGTTGTTACTGGCCCTGTGGTCTCAGCATCACCTGGGTTCTTGTTTGTTCACCTACCCTTCTTAACCCACTGAATCAAGAACCCTGGGAGAGGGCAGCATCAGTGTTTTAACAAGCTCTCCAGTGATCCCTTTTCTGTGAAGATCCCTTTTCTGAGAGGCTCTGCCTGGAATGGTTTTAAAACTCCTCTCCACTCTAATATTCCACAGATGCTTGTCTTGACTATCAAAGGCTTTCAGAACATTGCTTTGCTGCTCATCATTCAACATCCAGTTCTTTTGCTGTTATCTTTCTATTTGAATATTCTTATAGAATTCAAGCGTCTGCTACTGTGAGCCTTCCAAATGCTTTGTGTTGTGTGTCAGAGGCAAGGCGTTAACTTTAAATGTTGCATAAAAAGGCTTTTCCTCCTGGTGTGTTTTGTCATTTATCTTATTTCTGAAGATTAGCAAATGCAGAATTATTAGCCTTGTTTATGGTAAGAAGTTGAAAAGGATGCCTTTTGGTGTGGTTCTGGCCTGGGCTTTTGCATGATGCACATGGGTCAAGGTTAGTGGCAGGTAGTTTGAAGAGAGTGCCACTATCCTCCTTTGTTGTCCTAGTTCATACCACTCTCAGCATATAGCTCTAGCAGAATGGCTCCTTTAGGTCCAGCTCAACATGTGCTGGTCAGGCAGCACGGGGAATTAGAGCTCTCTGCTCACTGTAAGGAAACCTCTTTTTTTGGCTCCCAAATGGTTTCCAGAGCTATCAAAATAATACCATTTGCAGGCACTTTTCATGGCTGAAAAGAGCAAGTTGGAGAGGAAAAGGAGTACTCTCCGGGCCCTGGGAGAACTGTTTTACAGCTGGGCATTGCACATAAATGCTAACTGAATGCCCTTTCAGTTGTATAACTCACCATTGGGGCTCAACCGTGGAAGAGGCACTCAACAGAAATGAAGAGTACCTCACACAGGCATTTGTACTTGTAAACCAACTCTTCTTTGTGAGCCGCAAATGGCAATGTGTAGGACATTGTACTACAATTCTCAAGAAAAGCTTGCAGTGGCGAAGGGTTGGTGGGCCGCCTGCTGCTCATTACAGATCCTGTCTGGCTCTTTTCCTGCAGAATGAGTGGTAGATTGCTGACACCTGTTTTCCCATCCAGCCTGAGGATGTGAAGTGTGCATTAGGAATGCCTGAAAGTGCTTCCTTGTGTCGGAATCTGGAGTTTGGTGCTGTTTATGGAGATGCGGGTGGGGGTTCATTGCTAGGAGGGGAGATGAAAAAAAAATCAGTGGTGAGAAACTGCAGTATAAACTGAGAAGGGATGGTAATCCTCATTTAGCAGCTTCTGATTATGCACTTAGTTCACACTCCAACTCGATTTTTCATTGAACAAAGGGGGGAAAAGAGTCCTATACATGGGAAGACCTCAGGTATTTCTCAGATAGCATGAATATATAGTTGAGACTATGAGCACATTAGAAATGAATAGAAATAACCAAACATATCAATATCACTAAGTTATTTAAGAATAAGTTTGACCTTAAATATATGAAATTTAAGTGTGTTGGTGGTCTCATCGGTGACTGCACACTTCTCTTCAGTTGTCTGCTCCACCTGTTGTAATGTCACAAATCTGGCAGACAATGGAACAGAGGCCCTAATGTGCTGCCTTGAGTTACAAATATGGAGTGTCTTCTGTATATAATGCATAGTGCTAAGTGTGCAGGTATAATAGAAAGCATAAGGCAGACCCTACTGTATCAAGTGCTGGTGTCTCCTCTTTATCTGGAAGAAAAGACCCATAGGAGGCAGCACATAGGAGGAGTATGTTACAAGCACTACAGCGTAGCTAGTAAGAAACAGGTGATCCATCTAGTGTGTTTTCAGTAGGTTTGGAGAAGGAAGAGAATTGAGTTGGGTGGGTTGGAAGTTAGATGTAAAACTTGCTATGGATATTAAAGGATGTGGAGAATTCATTGAGAGTAAGAAAGATTAAGGTGTATCTATTATGCTTTTTTTCCCTGACATTCATAGGTTGTGGAATTAAAAAGTTGGGGTTTTTTTTTTCTTTTTTAATTTTTTTTTTCTTTGCTCTTCTATTTTTTTAAAATAGTGGCAACACTTTTCCCTGACTCATCTGTGGGACTTGGCTGGGCCTCATGAACATTGGCCTACATTTGTGAACTGTGGACAGGGTTAGGGTTGGGTCATGGCCTTGGACCAGAGTGAAATCAACTGGCGCATAATGTGATTGAACTAATGACCTTGGCCTCATTACCACTATGTTTTAACCAGTTGAGTCAATCAAACATTGCAGAAAGGGTAATCAGGCTATCTCTTAGAAAGAGATGTGCATAGTAATAAACAGGAGTGAAGTCAAAGCCAGGTTCTTTCTTTATGTAACACCCAGGTGTTTATCTCTTTATCCTTGAGTTTTTATACTTGTTTCTGCACATAATAAAATAAGGTGGTCAAAGAAAAAGGACCCCAAAACTCTTCCTGTGCTAGTATTTTTGACATCATGAAATGTGTAGTCATTTTTCTTGTGCAGTGTCAGGCTGTTTTTGCAGAGACTGCTTTGAGCCAACTATATTGTTTTCAATTTTAGATGTGTAGTGTCCCATAAAGTTATTGATGATGTTTTTCTCTTCTTCTCTAAAGTCCGAGCAGCCCAGTCCTGCCAGTTCCAGCTCCAGCTCCAGCTCCAGCTTCACACCGTCCCAGACCAGGCAACAAGGTATCAGTAGCTCCCAGGCAAACTAGGAGACATTTTTCTCATAAAACATCTTAATGAGTTGATTTATGACCTATCTTCTACTGTTTTATTATTTGAATGGTAACTCGACTTTTATGCAGTTGTATTTATTTCCCCTAGGAATGCACTTGGGTATTGTTCTGATATATGAGGCCAGGCTCTAGAAATTCCCCCTTTTTCCAGTCCCTGCCATCAGATTCCCATTTTACAAAAGGATTATAGACCACAGCCCATTCTAGGGAGTTCCCAAAGGAAATACAATATCAAAATCGGGACTTGAGAGAAATGGGTTTTCACTCTTCCTCCTTAGATGCCTTTATTTGTTTTTCTACAGATTAATAGAGTTTGTTTTTAGCAGATGTAAATTTGTTATTTTTTAAATATCTTTTTAAAAATATCTTTTCTTAACTGTTTATGCTCAACTGTTAACCCAAACCCTGAATAAAAAAATTAAACTAGAACATACAACTAATTTTTTTTTTCGGTATATGTGCAAAATCTTCAAATGAGGCCTCCCCCTTTATTTTTTACATAGAAAATGAGTTAGTATCAAAGAATAGTTTGGTTTTTACTCTTTTATTAAACATCATCTTTTTCATCAATCACAACTGAATTCCTAATGACCTTGTATGTTTTGAAAGGGATTAAACTGTTGTGTGTATTTGGACTAAGGCTAAGCTTCCAGAAAAAAAAAAAAGAATAAAAGATAGTTTTGGCTATTCAGGGATCTTGTTCCATTGACTTCCAAAAGAAATAAGCCCACAATGAAAGCAGAGAAAGTTTGGGTTTTCAGAATGTGCAATTGCAGGGAGTGAATACTTATTTTAGAACTGAATAACTGATAATTTAGATATATGTATCATAAATTAGACTTTAGGAATTGCCTGATCCAAAATGGAAGTGCCTCTGCCACCTTCTTGATTGTCTTTACAATCTCTTCTGTTAAAATTTAAAAGACCTATCTTGTTTTTCATCACACTTAGCATATAGTAAAAGCTATATGCATGGGGGGGGGGGATGAATGGGGGGGGGGAGAATGTGAGTGTGTATGTGTGTGCGCGAGCGAACACATTTCTATTCAACCCTAGAATAAAATTAGTTATGGCTTCATGTTTTTTTTCCTCCCATCTAATACTGGATACTGTCTTGAATTTTCTGGGCACCTGATTTATTACATGGCCTTATTTATGTTAATGCATGCTGGTATTTTGCCAGGAATTTCTTAAAAAGTAAAATAAAAATTGGCTGTATAAAATTGTTGCAACAAGACCTTCTGTCCAAGATCAATATGAAGATCAGAGATAGGACATTACACCACGGAATTGAAATACTTTATAATCTGAACTTGACTGAAATGCTTGCTTGACCTGAAATTGACCTTGAAATAAAAGGAACAGCTAAACCTTAATAGATCAAAAACTACCACACAAAGACTGCATTGCCAAGAACAAGTTAGAACCACAGTGATTTATTAATCTCAACTTTTCAATACATGGATTAACCTAACAAAACATCCAATTTACTAATAGATCTGTTTCTTTTTAGGTGTAATTTTTCTTAGGGAAGAGAAAAACTGAAAAAAAGTCTAGAAAATAGAGATTCTTTAATGAACAGCTTGGGGAATCTATTATGAAAACAGAAAAAAAAAATCTATTATGTTTAGGTAGAGCTTGCATTCCAGAAACTGAACCAAATTTTTGTTACAAATGGTATGACTGTATAGGATAATAATTACTTTTAACTGGCATTCAGTGCTGGAAAGCATTCCCTTGTTCTAATAGGGCAAAGCTTGTTTGAAATCATATTTGATTCACTGTGGTTCACTGTCATTGCTCAGGTCCTTTAAGGTCTATAATGAAAGATCTGCATTCTGATGACAATGAGGAGGAATCGGATGAGGCAGAAGATAATGACAACGACTCAGAAATGGAAAGACCTGTAAATAGAGGAGGCAGCCGAAGTCGCAGGTGAGTATCTTGGAGGGAGAGAAGTTCTCTGTGATGGAGTCACACCTTTTCACTGGGCTTACTGGTATCATCAGAGCACAGGTGAAACACCATAAATAATAGCAGCAAGTGGTCACATTCATTTGAAGTTGGGGCATGTCGGCATGTTTATAGTCACCTTTAAGGGGAACTGTTTTTCACTTTTCTCAGGAAGAAGAGAGTTTTTCCTCTAAAAACTTGATAGGAAAAAGTCACATTAGAAGTTCTGAATATTTGAACGTATATGCCATGTGGCAAGACTGACTGCTGAAATAGTCCATTTTCATGTGAAGCATGCGTATAGATCTGTTGCTGGCAGTAGTCTCAGAAGGTGAAGAAATGTGTTTGCTGTTTGTAGCTAGAAATACATAATTGGCTGCAGTGAATGATGTGTGTGACCTAATTAAAACTAGGATCACCTGTGTGTATTTTCCAGAAAATAAATTCCTTTTAAGTGTGCTGACAATTAGGTTCCTTAAGCAGCTTTAATGCTGTGAGGCATAATTCCACATTATAAGATGGTAATTCATGTCACTTATAATTAATAGTCAACTTGAAATTGCCTTGAGGATTTCATTTCTTTATCATGAGGAAAACAAATAGGCGTGCTTACTTTAATGTGTTTTGAGTAGAAAAAAATATCAATCTACTTGAATTAAAAATCCAATTACATTTATGATATATTATATTGTCTGTTCCTATTATCCACGACCATGTAGATGGCACTAAAATTCCTAGAAAGGATGCAGTATTAACCCCAACTGGACACACTGTATGATCCCTAACTACTGATTCTTCAGTATTCTTTGGAAAGAGCCTCTGTAGGGGATATGCCCTGTCAGATCTCTCAATGACTGTACCTTATGGCCATACTAAACACTGTTTCTTCACCTTTTCTCCCAAATTCACCTGGACCCTACCAAATTCACCTGGACCTTCATGGCCTTGGCTTTTTAAAATAATTCCCTCTAGAAACTTTCCATTTGGCAAGAAGAAACAGGAATAGCAAACAGACCTAAAAGTGGGCTGATACTTAGAATTAAGAAACTTACTTAGACCAACCAAGATCGTGACCACTGGCTGTTCTCCAGTTTAGCTGATTTAAGGGAAAAAAAAAGAGAAAGAAAGAAAGAAAAAAAGGAAGAAAAGGAAAGGAAAAAAAAGTCTGACCTATTTAGGCAATTTCCAAGTTATTTAGAAGATCAGGATATTCTGTGATTAACTGCTGTCCACACACTTTCTGCCCCATCCCCTGAGTTATTACAAGTCAGATCAACATTTGTGAGTTGTCTGATGTAGATACACATTGTTGGGGACAGTTTCTTTTCCCCACCTGACATGTGCTCTTAGCACGGCAGTGCCAGTGTAACATTTGATCTGCGCTGCACTTGTGAAGTCTCAACTGTTTAATCAGTTTAAATACTCAGCCCTCCACTTCAGTCGAGAAGCATTTTAAAGCAGGCTTCAGCTGAACACTTCATTAATGTAATTTAGTTAAGAAAAACAAGTTCCATCAGTTTTTGCTAAAAGGATGTCCCAGTGTATCCTTTTCATTTCCTATCATGTATCCTGTCTATCTGAATATATAATAGAGCTAGAATGTGATTGCCTATTCAGAGGGGAAGAAAAACTAACCTGATTTCTAAAGCATTTTCTGTTTCTGAAAAGAATATTATATTAGGTTACTGTATAACCAGAGAGAGGGAGCAAACACTGAAGGACGCTTCAGAAGGAGGGCACACATTCAGCAGAGTAGAATAAAGAACTCTCTCTTCTCTGGTTAGAAGATAATTCCATTTTATGCTGAAAAGAAAAAAACAGGGAGGAGGTGGTATTTTTATTGTCTTTAGTTGTTGAAAGATACCATCTTATTTTTCTAAAGCAGTATCCCAAGCACACCATTTCTTTGTGTAGATGGACTGTTTTTCCAGTGTTTTAGCAATCAGAACTAGAGTTATCCTTGAATCGTGGCACAGTGGGAATGACTGGTGGTGGGGTTGGCACAACAGACTTCATTTATCAGTACAACAGAGTGGCTGAGCACTAGCTTTGGGTCACACTGCTTGGGTTTGAGTCCTAGAGCTGCCACTTTTACCTCTGTGATCCTCGCTGAGTGATTCAGTTTAAGGCCCAGTTTTACTCGCCTATGCAAAAAGAGAACTAGCAGGTGAAGCATTTTCCATGGTTCCAGATATGAAGTATGTGCCAATCCATGTTAGTGGTTCTGAGTCAGAATGAACTTTCCCATAGTCAGTGTCTGGATTCCTTGCCTTTCATCACAGTTTGCACAGGTACTTCAAGAACCACCTGTTTGTAGTCATGCCTGTGATTTTTCTGTGTTCCTTTTCAGAGTTAGCTTAAGCGATGGCAGTGATAGTGAAAGCAGCTCTGCTTCTTCACCCCTACATCATGAACCTCCACCGCCATTATTAAAAACCAACAACAACCAGGTAAGTTGTGGGGTTCACACTTTACAAGACTCTGTGGAACTAGATGTGATCACTTCTACCTAGTGCACACACTTTTTTTTTTACCTCTTAAGCTTAAACAATGTCTCTTTTAATGGCAAATAGATGGGAATCCCCAAGCTGAGGAATAAACACAGGGCACAGGGACTTATGATGTCATGAGAAGTTGGGTATGGGGGATGGGTTCATAAAGTAGGTGAGGAAGAGATAATAACCCATGTTGTTGCCCAGTCACTCCTCATTTCTATATATTATTCCTCTCAGCAGTAAGGAGGTGGCTTAATTAGAAAGAATATGGCGTTTGGGACTAGTGAAAAGGCAGGTTCTTTGCTTTGCCACCAGTAACTTGCTGTTGGGAAATTAATTTTTCTGACCCTCAATTCCTTCATCTATGAATGATGTTAACTCCTACCTCGTAGTTATTGGAAGGATGCACAGTTCCTCCTTGGCATTCTGTAGCTGATGGGAGATGTTTATTATTATAGGTATTCTGTCTTAGGTTTCTCATCCAAGAGAAGATTATCATCACTTGAGATTGTGAGGAATAATTAAACACAGAGAAAATTGTGGTCATTATCATTGTTATGAATTGAGCTTAAGGAAACCTTATTAATTTGACAGCTCAGAATATATTCTAAGCAGAACTTTGAAGGCTGTAATGAATAAGATAGGAACATTTTCATTACTTACTAAAATAAACTGTTTTCAGGTATCATGAATATTGTAAAAAGCCTCATTGTGCATTGAGTTGATATTCATTACTGTAAGCTATTCTTATCTTTTTGTTTAGGCAGATTTCCTGTGACCTCTACAATAATTGTTTAATTCAAGTTACCAAACGAATATTAACTTGAAAATTAAAGAACTGTATTTTCCCACAAGTGTAGTTTCATAGGTATCCTCCATTCCAAATGGTCTTGCCCTTGATTCTGTGATCTTTATTTTGGTTGGAAAATGCTATTTTATCGCTGAAGACATTTTCTTTTTCCATTTTGTGTGAAGTGTAGGCAAAGAGCTCTTAGAATTTTAAATTCATTTATAAAGTTCATATGCAACTTAAATCTTTCATTGTGAGGTAGGAAGGTCACCAGTGCTCTTTGCCACACCAGCTAACCTGTAATGGTCAGCTGCAGTTTCTTTGTGCCCTCCACAGTCAGTAAAAGCTCAACCTCATCATTGTATTACACAGTCTGCTGTCCGGCTCTTCTCATCTCATGTCTGAGCCATGCCCAGGGACTGGCTCTCTCTCATCTCTCACGTGGCTGCCCACCACCACCAGTCAAGTATTTTAAGTGGAGAAAGTTAAAAGAGAAGGGACATAAATGTGGCCAGTCATGATGTTGGGGGGAACATTGGGCTGGCTAACTAGATAATTGGGGATCCTTCTACAAACTTTTAGTTCAGGAAGAACTAGTCAAAGAGAAGAATTTGGACCTTAATTATATTTTATATCTGATTTAAACCTAGTTAGACTTGATTTCTGCTTCCAGTGGACAGTGTATGAGAACTAGGATGCTCTTGGTGACAGTACTCCGGCTGAAGGGCACAAGGGTGTGCTTTGGACCCTCATCAGTCTCCTTCAGCAACCCTCCCTGTCATCATGAAGACAGGCCTTGCTGAGTGAGTGTAGCTCCTACAAGCTCTTGTCTTGCCCTTCAAACCCTTCCTGAATGTGCAGTCTTGAGCTGACACTAGCTTTAGGGAAAGATGTGGATTCTTTATCACTATTTTCCTCTTTCACCTGTCTAGCAAAACAAAGCCAAAAATGAACAGTATCATCTATCTGGACAAATCTGAGTAAAAATTACTTTATCCAATTAAGTAGCATTCCACTGGTTCCGCGGCATTAGTCCACAAATGTAGCTTCACACATGCAAATCATCAATCTGCCAGCAGTGCTCAGTTAATGTCACTTTCTCCATGTGCCTGTAACATCATAAGAAAGCTTGTGTGCCTTCACTTTCAGCTAGTTGGGGAAGGAAATACATGTACCACAGAAGTATTACCTCTGTGGGCCTATGTCTTTGAGCTGAGAGAGCCAGAAAAGGTTTTTAAAACTGTGTCCAGACCAGTTTCTTAACCCCCTTAAATAACCTGTCCTAGTTCAGGTGATGCCATCCTTTTAAGTCAGCATTTATGGAGTTAAAAAAAATTATTGTATTTCTAAGTTCTCTGTACTGATAGAAATAGTAAAAACTTCAGAATGCCTAAAAGTCACTTAAATTACAGTCTGGAATGTTTTTGTCTTATATTTAAAGGTGTGTGAGAGAGAGCGTGCACATATAAGTGCAAAGTGGTGTCTGAAATTGCACATCAAATAGAAAGGATGAGAACTTACTGGGGAAACCTAATTCTGAAATGGGAAGACTCTGGGTTTCCTTCTTTCTTGCCTTTTGGCTGCTCTTTACCTGCAGTTAATAATGAGTTTGCACAGTACTTGCAAATTTCCATAAAGCAGTGGCAAAGCTGAATTGCCTATTGTCTTTTCTCAAATCTTCCAGGGACTCAGAAAGAGGAAATGTGCTAATTGATTCTAACACTATCAGACTAACTCCCCCCCAAAAAATGTTGAGGGTGGGAGCCCCAAGTTAACAAAGCAAGTGATTAGCTGGGTATTGTTAGATTTTTCATGTTTAATGTAACTCCTATCAGTAGAGAATCCATCCTCTGAATAACTGAATTGTCATTCTAAGGGAAGGGATACAGAAAAATACCATCTTGAAAATTTGATTCTCAAGCCATATCCTCAGAGTAAGGACAGAAATACTACCAATCACAATTAGGCTCTTTTCTGATATTATTATATCTACCCTTGGTTTATTTCAGCAGTCTTGGTGGCTGTGTTTTCTTTAGTACAGTTTAATAGGGAATAATAACGAGTATTGTACCATTTTAACTAGAGATGACTTTTTCCCCACCCCAAACCTCCCTTGTGTGAATTTCAAATGAAAACAAAATACCATATCTTTTTTTAGTTCAGAGTGTGGCAGGAAGGGAAGAGGTGAGGGGACTTGAAGGAAGGAAGTGATCCATTGGACCTGAGCTAATACTCAGAATATCATAAATCACCTTTCAGCCTGCCAGGCATGCTGAATGAAATTAAAGAGAGTCTATCCAGTTAAACTGGTTTGAAATAGGCCTCTGGAAGACAAGGTGTTGTGCTTTTATATTCTGGAGTCGTTTCCCTAAAGATAAGAAATGATCATAAATAAAACAATTGTCTTCAGCATGGCTCAACTCTCTCAGAATGAGGTTTTGACAAAGCTGTTTATTTTGGAGCAGGGAGAGATCAAAGAAGGAAGATTAACTGAGCCCTCTCTGGGCAGCCACTCAGTAACTTGAGGCGGGTCACTGACACCCGGAGCTTTTGTTCCTGCCACTGCAGCCTCCAGAAGAAAGAAACTAGGATTTCAATGTATTTTAGCCTTCTGTGCTGTAGCACTTACGGAATGCGTGGGGTGGGACTTAAGCTCCCAAATGTTCTGTTTTCTGCTTTGAAGAGAATGTGGCAGGACCCTCTAAACCTAGTTAGCAGAGTTCCATTGCAAAAATAGCATCCACAGCACTTCAACACCCAGAGTGCACCAAATGGGGGATGGGACCATGGGAGGAGCGGGATGTGATGGGAAGGAAATTCTGTTCTTCAGTGCACAAGGCACAGTGGAGATTTTTCTCTTGCCTGAAATCTCCCAGGATTGTCTCAGCAAGGCCCAGCCTGGTGTCTGACTTGGCTAGGACTGCCATCTACTGACCTACTTACTCCTAGGTCTTGATGCTGATTTTCCCCTGGAGGTCTCATTTCCAACCGAGAGGAGGAAATTCTGAATGCTGTGGAGTGTTTGGTTTCCTTCACAGGGAGCACGTTACAAAAATGATCGCCTTGCAGCTGCTACTCAGTAATTTCCTTTTGTTGCCAAAAGTATTATATTGTCAGTTGTCCTGGTCAGATTGGTCATTTGGTTATCTCAGTTTTAAAAATGAAGAAGGAAGTGTGAATCTCAGGAGAGACTGGTAGCATACTTCTTGACCCATGCTTTATTTTCAATTCAAAGAGAAATAATCCCATTTAGGACTATTTGGTCTTTCCCAGAAGGTTGTGGTCCTAGCTTTGACAAGTAAAATGCTTATTAGTAGTATAAAATTTTAAACTTTTAAATGGGAACCTGAGTGTTATCGCATTCCATTTCTTCATTACATCTTTTGGGGCCAAAAAATGTTAAATGATAAGGCTGGGGCCTGAACTTGGTTCTTCTGAGCCCAATCTCCTGTTTTTGACAGTGCAAATATAGAGTAGTTTGGTTCTTAAATTTTTCTTTGTGCTATGGAATATGGCATACTGAGAACAAAGCCATGCCTGAGGTAGGGCAGGGGATAGTCGAGGGAAGAGTAGAAGGAATATGAAACTTGTTAAAGGAAGTCCTTTACTTGGCATTTCCTCCTTAATATTAGTCTCTGGTTATAACAACTCACTTGGAAATAAGGTTACAGTGAAAAGGACAAATTGCTTTGCTTCTGATGTCTGTACACATTTCTTGCCATTTATACATTTTAAGGGTGCTCAGCCTTTTCAAGCCAGTGCCATTTAAAACTTGTTTCCCTCAGAATTTTGAAGACCTTAATAAATCATCTACATTTATTAAATAATAGTCATCTCCTTTTATTAGTTAGAACTATAACTCCCTATCTTGACCATGTGCTACCATTTGACGTGGGCCTACATTTCCAAGCTTCTGAACAGCACACAGGACTACTGTTAAGACCCTAAGCTGCAGTGGGTCCAGATAAAAGGAAAGGTGCCTGGCATCTTACCATGTGTTATCACACCATCTCTTGAAGCACAGAAGACAGTCCTGTCTGTTTCTGGAGTTGCAGGATCCCGGACTGGAGCATGGGTATACCTGATGGCCACTTTCCTTCCCAAAGGAAGTTTCAGTGTCAGCTTAGTGAATACGAGTTATTTGAGACTCTGAAAGGCAGGTACTGTAGAGGGCATCTGAGGGTTTGTTTTTATCATCCCTAGCCTACTGAGCACTGGTAGTCATGCTGAAACAGCAGAATGAAGAGGAAAAAATTCTTGCCAGAGGGGACTGTAATCTCAGAATAACTCAGCTGCCGTACATATGTGTGAGAGTGTTGTCACAAAAGAGAAGCAGCTTTGGAAGCTTAGATCAATTTCCTTATCATCAACTTTTTTTTAAAGTTCTGTTGCTCTGACTCAGCATTTCAGAGACAAGTAATTTATTTTCCAAGCAAAAGTAAGATTAGAATAGAAGGAAAACTATAGCGGGGAAATGCCATTTGGTAAACAATGTTATTGTCTGGTATTTCATGGAGTGAGTACCTTTGTTTATGTGGGAGGTTAACTAGCAGGTGCTTGAAATAAAATTTAACACAGTGTTCTCTTTGATCCCTAGATTCTTGAAGTGAAGAGTCCAATAAAGCAAAGCAAATCGGATAAGCAAATAAAGAATGGTGAATGTGACAAGGTAGGTTTCCAGCCCATTGGTGTGAGTGCTGTGGCCTTCTTGTCTTCTGGTTTCCCTTGATCATACTTGCTAGCTGTCCCTCCATTTTCTTCATCAGAAATGCCCAAGATTTCCACACGATGAGTGTTTCATCCCTGTGCTTTGTAGTTTATTTTCCATGCCTTGCTCATGTCTTCATTATTAAGCTTGACCATATGCTACCATTTGATGTGGGCCTACATTTCCAAGGGATTTTGAACACATTGAATTGGGAGGTAAGATTGTGAGATGTAAGTGAGCAAGACCTCTGATCCCAGTGCAGGGTGTTTGTATGCATCTTGCCTCTGAAATCTGACTACAAGACTTGGTAGTGCTTAAGTCACCTGGAAAAGGCAGGTCCCTAATGTGTTTGCAGGGGCAGGAAGACCTCTCTAATGCTTTGTAAATCTTTCCTTTGCCCTTACTGAAAATGATTCTGGGGGTACCCATGCAGTCACACTAATAAAGACTTGTGAGTTTGAACATATGGAAAGAGAAGTACCCCTCTGCACTTCTAGGGGAGCTCTTCATAAACCAGATGGTAATTGGGATAGTGATCTGTTTTTTATAAGGTATTATTGATATTATTTTGTTCTTTGGTCATTTGCTGTCATTGTTTATCTGAAATGTTTGGTACAATTGGGAGTCTTTTTTTTTTTTTTTTTTTTTTAAATTAAAGGTTTTCTTTTACCTACCTGGTAATTTGCACTGATACTCCCCTTTTTAAACTTAAGCTTTTTTTTTTTTCTGAGATTAAAGAATAAAAAAAATGAAAGGATAAAAATGAAAGCCTGTGATAACATGTTAAAACCCACAATTTAGCATTGAATTTCCCCCAATCCTTGTATATACTTTATTGGAGTAAGGTGAGTCTGCCCACGGGACTTTTGTTGAGAGTAAATAGGTGAGAGAGTTGCTTACTCCCCCATTGTAATGCAAGCTTGGTAAAGGTGAAGGTCAACCAGGAACCAGGACAGACCTGGTCAGCAAAGGCCTTTGGACACAGTTCGAGTGGCTTGTGTAGAATGGTAGGATGAGGAGCGTCCAACTTCGCCTGTGAGTGCTTTCTTATTTTTCAACTGCTTCCTAAAGTGCTTGTTCTTGGGGTGCCCTTCTCTTCCAGGCTTACCTGGACGAGCTGGTGGAACTTCACAGAAGGTTGATGACGCTGAGGGAAAGACACATTCTGCAACAGGTGAGAAATGCCTCTCAGCACAACTGTTCTGGGAGACCCCAGGCTCTGCTTTATCCTGGGCTAGTGAGGTAGCACTTGGAGCCACAGCAGCATCTTGTGATTGGAATGGGGCCATGGCACCTGCTGAAGTATTTGGGGAGGGTTCTGATTTTTGAGGCCGCCTAGAAGTCGGCTTCTAGCTCCATGGTGATTCTTTCCTTCCCCAGTGTAGTCAGTGGCTAATGTTGTAATATGAGGTAAGGGAGGGGACAGTAGGAACGTAGGAGCCACTGGGACCAAGCTTCTGGTTTCATGGGAAAACAGTGATAAGAATTTTGAGTCAAGTGTTATAAACATTTGTGATTGAATTTAGTAACCTTTTTCCAGTGCAGTTCTAAGGAAAATAAATATTTTCTTCATTTCCCTTATCTTGTTAAGCGTACATTCTATTATTATGAACTCAACTGTGAAATGCTTGTAGGGTGAGGAAACTTCTATTAATACAATGTGATGTTTTGAGAAGATAAGAAAAGTGGGTTTTAGTTTTTGTACAGTTCGAGTACATGCCTTTATTGTATTAACAGTGGCTATTGATAAAATAATTTTTCTTTAACACCCAAAAAGTCTGTGCGTCCAAATTCCAGGGCGAGTTTGCAAATTGTTTCACTTCAAAATTTTTTTCTTTTTTACTACTTTCAAATGACTGGAAATTAGTACTTAATCTGCCCCAGCTGTGTGTGAATTATTTTGTAAATGTTTAATGGTTGATGGTCACATTTATATTCTGTGTACATTTTTGCTTAAATCTATAAATACACACTCTCAAACTCGCCAAGTTTCCTGACTGGTCTGATAAACTTTTAACCCTTCTAAAGTTTTAGATTTGAACAAAAGACTTTGTCTACAGACCTAGGTTCTTGTTTGTGGATAAGTTACATGTCTTGCATTTTTCTCTTAAGTGAGTATGGGGGTCAGGGGGAGCAGGATTTGAGTGGCTTAACCTAAGTCAGTACTTTGCAAGTACATTCTCCCTTGGCATCCACAGAGCATAGGTTTCAGGTCCCCATTGGATACCAAATTCTGTGATGCTCGACTCTCTCATCTAAGATGGCATAGTATTTGCATATAACCTGTGCACATCCTCCATTCTTTAAATCATCTCTAGGTTACTCGTAATTCCTAAAACAATGTAAATGCTTTGGTCATCACTGCTCTACTGTATTGTTGAGAGAATAAAACGCACAAGAAAAAAATCTGTACATGTTCAGCACAGTTTTCCCCCCAAAAATATTTTCAATCTATGTTCAATCTGAGGATGCAGAACCCACAGATACAGAGGACCAAGTGTGATTTTCTTCAACTTTCTCCTGTAGAAGGGAAAATTGTATTGCCTGCCATTTACCAATTATTTGGGGTTAATTGACTAATACCGACAGTAAATCTATTAGCTGATCTTCCCATCCCTTCCCAGATACCAACTCTGAACCACTGTGGAAGAATTGCCCAAGAAAGCTGTTAATGCCCAAGCTAGGCCTAAATTGTGAGTCTCACAGGAAAGTGAGACAGATGTTTGAGTTGGGTGGGGGCACCTTCACAGAGAAAGCACAGACAACGAATCAAGGACAGTATGCCACTGGGCAGGGTCTTACCTTGTGGTGTCATTGGCATTCCTAATTTAATGTTGTCCTTTATTTTGACCTTTGAGAGAATTGTGAGGGAAGGAAGCTTAGTAGAATTCCATCCAAGTGGATTATTTTAGTATTCTACAGGGAGAAAGTAATATCTATGAATTTTTAACCTGGCAAAAAAGGCACCCCAGGGCACACAGCCTCTCACCCTAATTGCATTCCCAGGCTGGTTGAAAGCTCTCAGTCTTTGGCCTTTTGCCTTGTAATGCAGCTGAGGCTTGTGATTATGATACCATGATGCATGTCCTGTCACGGTTTACTGCTTAATTAATTCCTATTGTAAAACATAGCACTATTGAGAACTAATGTTATTCTCCACCTTGAGGGCTGCTCATCTCGTGGCATGCATTCTACAAAGTCTCTGTGTTCTCCTCCATACAGACTTGAACACCTGCGGCAGAATTTCTGGTGGGCCCAGAATGATATCCTGAGTTCTTTCCTGTTCAGTGCATCCCTATCAAAAAAATCTGCTCTGACAATTTTATTTGGCTCACAAAAGGGGTTAATAGCATGTTTTACGCTGGGGACATGCTATCCTGGCACTCAGTATTTAGTTTAATGAACAGAAAGCATTGGCTCAAGGGAGGCTATGTGCCTAAGCCACTTTTCCATAGTGTAAATATACAGTAGAGCGGACACAAAGAGAAGGAGAGAGTACCTAGGACTGATTAATAATTTGATTTTTCTTTAAACCATGTGTTCCACATTTATTTGTAGACTGAAGTGAAAAATATTTAACCTCCCTAGCAGTTCAGCTGCAAGCTTGATTTGTATCCTTGCCTGAAAGAAAAAAAAAATCTGAGAAAACCCAGAACTTCCTTAGAACAGAGTATATCAATTTAGATACCAGCTATCATTCTTTTAGAATCACCTTCAGGGATTGAGGAATGAGTGGTGTATTAGAGTATTCCTCCTAACAACACAGAGATCCCTCCCTAAGAAGTGTTCTGCTGCAAATGATTTCCTCCATCCTGGGAAATTACCTGTCATATTGGTATCCTTTGTAGATTGGAGTCTGATAGCCTGCATTGTAGCCCAAAGGAGGTACACATTTTCATGTGGAAGACAGGGCTTCCCTGTCTGGAGTAGAGGATATTTTACCAGAGCACTGACTCCACTTGAGGTAGAATCAGTTAAAGCAAAGCTTGTTCAAGACTTTCCCCCTCCTAGAAGAAGCGACTTTGAATGGGAAGAGCCCTGGCATTTGAAAATATAAGTCAACCAAAAATAAGGCATCTATCGCTTCTCCGCCTCCTGGCTAAGATCGTGTGTAAATGAATGCATGTAGCTTTCTATAATTAAAAAACCAGAGTTAGGGGAGGGAGTCATAGACTTAACAAGTAGATAGTACCCTCCTTGAAACAAAACAACCAACAGCCTCTGTGATACCCCCTTAAAAGGCTGATGTGGCAGGAAATCATCCATCACAAATGTTTTCACAACAGCCATCATCTGAAGAATGAGTTAAGCAGTTTACACACTTCCTTTTTCACTACCCATATGTACCCTGTTCCCTTGAATGCTTTTATCTGCAGTTACTCTGTCTTCTATTATTCTTCTAGATGGGCATTATGATTGCATTTTGATGCAGCATAATGACAGCAAGGTAAACCCACATTACATCCCAGAAACTATATTCCTACAAAAAGAGTGGAGTCCTTTGGAGACTAGCAGCGTGTTTTCAGGCTTTGCGGCCTGTGTCATTGGAATAAAGCACATTAACATGGTGTTTCTGATGTTTGAGCTATCGGGATTCCTGGAAAGGAATGTGCACTTATTTTTCTTTATGGAGTCTTTACTTAATTGAGGACATGGGTACATGCTCTAATAACTTAAATCATTAATGCCGTTCCCTTTGGCAAATAGTCCCAAACTACCCAACTGCTCCCACTACTACTGCCTTTAGACTGTCTCTGCATCTGCCCTGATGTATTCTTATAGACTCCCATTAAAGTTGCAGGGCTCATTTAGTTAGATTTATCAGATTCCCTTTCTATCTTTGCATATGTGTGGCTGCAGGCAGGGTGGGGCATGCTAGTGGTGGAGAAAGTGGGAGGCTGGGTGGGAAGCCCTGGAAACCTAAAGATGTTATAGTGCATGTGAGATGACCGGGCTTTATTTCCTAGCGGGCCGAAGTGTTTATTTGCTTTAAAATTAAGAGGCTTTTTTTCTAGAAGGAATTTTTATTGCCCAGTTTTCTGTTTATTGTTCAATAATTAGTGAACCACTATATTGAGTCATAGAAAACTATTTTCTTAAAAGGGTAAGTTCCCTGTTATTTTAGGATAATGTGTAGGGCTGTGCTTCCGTTACCCAGTACATTGCAGTTTTAGCCCATCATTTCAACTATTTGGCTTCATCTGTTTTCTCCCCTTCTCCCTGAAAACTTTTGTTATGATTATTTTAAAAAATTGTTAATAATAATAAATTCAACCTGGCACATTTGCACACACCTGCAATCCTAGGTGAGGCTGAGGCAGGATGATTGCAAGCTCAAAGCCAGCCTGGGCAACTTAGTGAGATCCTGTCTCAAAAATAAAATAGGTTGGGAATTGCCAGGTGCGGTGGCATACACCTATAATCTTAGCGTCTTGGGAGTTGAGACAGGAGAATCATGAGTTCAAAGCCAGCCTCAGCAATGGCAAGGTGCTAAGCAACTCATTGAGACCCTGTTTCTAAATAAAATACAAAATAGGGCTGGGGATATGGCGCAGTGGCCAAGTGCCCCTGAGTTCAGTCCCTAGTAACACCTCCCCCCCAAAAAAATTGCTGGGAATGGATACCAGTAGTAGAGCTTCCCTGGGTTCAATCCCCAGAGCCACAAAAGAAAAATATCAGGTAGACTTTTTTTGAGTTTTAGGTTCTGCATTTTTTTTTCTTGCTTCATTTGTTTTATTGCTAATGAAATGGCTAACAGTAGTTAAGGGCCAGAGATAAAAGCACCAGGTCTGATAATCCATGTGCTCTTTAGTTATCTCCCACATAATAAGTTTACATGATGACCATAACCATGGTGCCCTGATCTAGGTAGTAATTTATAGTTTATAAGGAAATTATTTACCATATCTTATTTAATCCTCTGCAAATCCTTGTATGATATGTAGAAGAGATAGCATTGTCCCCATTTTACTTATGAGGAATCTGAGGCTCAGATGTTATAATGTTCCAGTGCCATTCATATAAAGAGCAGAAGAACTTTATAGGCCAAATCCAGAACTCCCTCTTCTGAATGCCTTGTCACTTACCTGCTCTCCCACTAGTTGGGGAGAGGAGTCCACCTCTGGTCTACTTGGTAATTATCTCTATTGTATATATTTGAAATTATAGTAGCTCTGAAGAGACTATTTTTTTAATCCTGAAATTTACCAATACATACTAGATACACAGTTTCTACATAATGTAGTAAAAGAAAAAAAAAAGATAATGTACTCAGGAAAGTACTCTTATTTCAGCCAGTGTTTAGTATAATTAAGTATATGATTGCCATGAAAGGCTTGTGTGTGTGAACACAACTGTGTGTTTATGTCTCTATATGTAAATATTTGTGGGGAATCAGTGAGAGTTCTAAAACTATTTGTTAATAAACACTTCAGTGTCCATTTTGGTTGTTTTGTGTGTTGATACAGTAATTTTTGATGAATTCCTCCATGAATGGTATATTTTAATCACAATTGGGCATATCCTTTCAGATGATCTATTGATAGATATAATGGAGCCCTGAATCCAGTAGCTTAAGCGAATGAGGTTCCCTCCTCCTTTCCTCCTCAACATGTGTTAGGCCCAGGGATAGTAATCCATAGTCAATCTTGTGGCTTAAAAGATGCCACTGAAGACACAAACTCTGTTCTTCTGCTCTGCCATCTTTCATGTGTTGCATTCATCCTCCTGAATGGAAGATGGCTGCTGTGCTTCTGGGCATTGCATCTACATTAAAGAGAGGAAGAAGGTCAGAAGGCAAAAGGCACATGTTCATCGTCCGTAACATTTTCAACAATTTTTTTTTTAAATGCCAGTGATTTCTGACAAGTACGTTATAAATAGTAGTACCGAGTGCTACACAGCATTCTGATGAGGCAAGCATTTTAGCTGAGCATATTTGCTACTCTCAAAAAGTCAGGTTCCTGTTAGTAAAGGGGATAATGGAAAATAGATGATCAGTTTGCAGGAACTGTCATGTTCCACAGTAGGCATAACTTGTTGTATTATTAAAACCATAATTATATCTCCAAAAATAGTTTCAGAGATTGAATAAGACAATAACAGTTCAGTTTGGAGTTTCGCAGTTAATTAGATTTAGGCTTAATATGTCTAATATGCTTCTGTTGAGATAAAAAAAATAGCATCAGGAATGGGGAACACTTTTTCTGGTAAGACCCACTGAGCCATAGGGAATAGTTCACAGATGTTTCAAGGAAAAGTAAGTGTAATAAGAGAAGGTGAAAAGTCTTAATTCTGCTGGTTTTCAGATTGGCATCAGATAATCCAAAAATTAATTGAATAAATCATAGGGTAAATAATTTAAAATTCTTAAAATTATTGAACTAAAGAGATTTAGAATCAGGAGATAGAAAAGGAATAATACAGACAAATGAGAAGTGGAAGTTTGCCAAGTGTTCACTTTGTGCAAATATTCTTTCTCTTGCCCTAAGGCTGATTTTCCTCTCTCTCAAAGATTGCTAAAGTTAATTCCCATCCCACTTCTGAACCATTAACACACCTAGTTAAAAACCCCACTGCCCAGGCCCAGTATCCATTTCTGATAAGATTATTAGTAACATTGGAGTAGAAAGAAAGTACATGGAAAAAGAATGTCTCACACCCAGACCCAACATCATTCTTCATATTGAAATTTCAGAACTGTCCAGACCCAACTTCATTCTTCATATTGAAATTTCAAAACTGTCCTGCTACAAGCCTTGGCAAGAGAATACCACCTCTGCCACCACTGCCATTTAACATGTCATTTTTCCATAAGTTGGAGCCAAAACAGAAATGCAGTGTATCTTGTTCTAATTGGGGAGACATTGGCATCCTCTCTTTTTCTACATAAAATTTTTCTCTCCGGAATACTCAAGGGAATAGCTGAGCACAACTATAAGTAATAAACATTTGTATGTATTTTTTATAAAAGTAGCAGAACATGTACAGCTACAAAGTGAACATGGGGTGTGTAACCAGTACCCAGATTAGAGAACAAAATAGTCCTGGTGACATAGGGGGGGTCCCTGGGGGCCCATACTCAATACTGTGTTCATCAGGGGGATTATACGTAGTTTCTATTATTATTTTCTTTGTGCGTTTCTATACTGTCTAAATTTTCAATAATTATGTACTCAAATAAAAATGATTTTTTTTTTTGTTTGCATGTGTTGTTTTTTGAAAGAAGTTTTGTTATTTCTAGGTTGAAGTTTGTTTATGTCTGTTAAGCATAGTCACTATCTGTTGATCAGGAACTAATTTTTATAGAAGTCTTGAAATTTTCTTTCTCCCTAACCACCCACCCAAGGAAAATATTCTCTTGTTGACTTGAAAGCAGCATTTTAAAAGGATGAAAATTGAGAACAAATAAGTCTGTTTTCTGTGAGAATTTTTCGAAGACTTTATGTATATTTGACTTACCAAACTGGCTAAGTAAGGTACTTTTGATTTTTCTCATTATAAATAAGGGTGTTTATCACTTGGATCCATGTTTGAGCCCCTCCATCTCTTAATCTGAGCCTTTTGATGTCTTTTACTTATTTCTCAAACTTTTTTTTCTTTACTCCTTCAGATTGTGAACCTTATAGAAGAAACTGGACACTTTCATATCACAAACACAACATTTGATTTTGATCTTTGCTCGCTGGACAAAACTACAGTCCGTAAACTACAGAGTTACCTGGAAACATCTGGAACATCCTGAGGATATAACAACTGGATGCATCAAAAACTATTGCTTTTTTTTTTTTTTTTGGTTGTGATTTTTTTTTGTTATTGTTGTTTATATGAAAACACTCAGAATGATGCAACCAAAAGGGAAAAAATAAAAATCAAACAACCTTCAGCTTTATTTTCCTTTAAAGCCAGTCATCATCTCTTGATAAAGGAGAGGTTAAGCAAACCAGCCTCAGCGGACCACTCTTCTCTCCAAGGAAATCCCCGGGAAGAGTTAGCCTGGATAGCCTTGAAAACAAACAAAGCAAACACAATACAAGAAAACTTAAAGAATGTGTATGGTATCATGTCTCTCTCCGTGGTGGTTCATTCCACAGGACGAACGCATACTCAACACACTGCCTTATTACATAACTGATCTATTTATTATCGCATACAGATATTCTAAAGTCGTTGAGGGAATGACACCACCAGACATTATGAGTACTTGGTCCCGTGGATGCTCTTTCAATGCAGCGCCCTTGCCATCCCAAGCCCAGTGACCTTACTTGTATACCGTGCCACTTTCCACCAACTTTTTCCAAGTCCTTTAACTTGTTGCAGTCTGTATTTTCCACCTTTTGTTTTTCCAGTTCCAGGACACAAATTTTCAACTGGGGGGACCAAATAGCCACTTTGATTTTCTTCTTTGTGGTCTTTTTTCTGAAAGTTGGGGCCAGACCTTGGCTGTTTCCATGTAATGATCTTGGACCATGGTAGAAAAGGCACCAAATAGGATCATATGAATTGCTGTCTAGCCTTAGTCAATAAACCTGTAGGACTTATACAAGAGCGTACCTGTAAACGTCCTGACTGCAGCATTGTCGAGCTGTCATCGACATTCTTGTGTCTGTTTTACTGTTATAATATTAGGCAAATATGGAAGTAAAGGCATTCCACAGGATCAGCATTTGAAAAAAAAATTCCAATCCTGTTTTCTAAAGAAATGTAGAAATTCTTAATTTGGATCTATTTATTAGAGGTTCAGCTCTCTTCAGCTGCCAGCTTGGTATTCATCTTTATTGTAAAACCAGGAATCAGAGTTTTGTTTGTTCACATATGATTCTCTTAGACTCTTTTATATTTGAAAAATTAAAATCTTTCTTTGGGGGAAAAATCTTGGTTATTCTGCCATAACAGACTGTGTATTAACTTGTAGATTCAGTGGTTCGAAACCTGTTTAGTCCCTTGCTAATGTTTCCAGAAGGATTTCCTGTATTGGTGAAAGTAAAGATGGTTGGGGGGTGGGGGATATTTTTGTTCTTGTACCCTTGTTTTGGAACTAGAACTCTGTCCTGTGGCATGCAAAAGAAAGAAAATTATTTTTTAAAAGAAAAAAAAAACCAAAGTACTTTTTGGTGTCATTATTCTATCCTCTCCATAAATGGAGAAATGAAAAGTGAGAACAGCTCATCTTCTAGGTCTTTACTAGGAACTCAACCACAATGAAAAGAAAGGAAGAAATGCTTCTGGATCCAAAGGTCTGTCCCTGGATCAGCCTTAAGGAAGTCTCTGTGCTAATAGACCAGGATCTCCCTCATTTGCTCCTGTGCCAGATGCTGTCTTTTCATTCAGAGATTAACTAGTGTCTGTACAAAAAAATGGTCTCTCCAGACCCATTCTTCTAGTAGGCAGTAATGTAAATGCAGATTGGTAATGGAGTGATTTCTGCATTTTAAAAAGCATTTTTTACACTGTTTCTTTCTATCCAAAGAAACTATTTTTTCCTTTTAAAAAAAAATTATAATACAGCCATGCTCCTTGTAAATTACTTCTCTGAAGTGTCCTCCCAGAGGACAAGTGTACTTTCAAGAATGTTATGATTCTTTATGATGATTGGCATGAACTGTACTTGAAGCATTCGTTATTGTAGTCCACTTCTCAATGTGCAATTACAGAGATGATACTTTCCAAGTTATTTTGGACATTAGGTGACTGATGAATTGTGTGGTTTTAGTTATAGTTTGTTCTTAACTTTACAGGTGAAAGGGGAGGGAAATGCTTATATGGAAATATTTCTGACTGATAATTCACATATTCTCACTAAACCAGAAATTTATGTGGTTAAACTAATATATCTCTTTGGTTTAACTAAAAACATTTATATGTAATTTGGGCCATTTTTATTTTTGTAACTAAATTGTGTGGCAAAATTTTTGATTTGGCAATGTAAAGATTTTTTTTTCCCCATAAGTCAGTAACCAAGAAACTAGGTCAGATTTAAAAAAAAAAAAAAACTCTCCTCCCCACCAAAATAAATAAATAAATAAGGGCAGCTATTACAGTGATATACTTTAGACCTGAATATTAGATAATCACATGTCTTCCAAATAGCATACCATGTACGTTTATAAACTAGTAACAAATTTTGGAAAAACTTGCCAACCTCCTATTATCCAGACAGCAAAATGTGTTTCCCACAAAATTCTAATAGTTATCTAGATTTGGATTTTTTTTTTTTTTTTTTGTTTGTTTTTTGAAGCAGTACTCTGGTCCTCATCATGTGATTTTTAAATACAGAAGTAATAAATCCCCTCTCTGTTAAATCTCAGAGTTATAAGACTTTTCATAAAGTCACCTGCTCAGTTCTGCCCCATTTATGCATACTCACCTTTGAAACTTGTTGAGAATTTTCTTAACATGTGTACCCTAGTGGCTTTGGTTTTTTTAAGCACAAAGGGGAAATGGCAGGGTTTAATTTCTTTGGTGTATATATATATATATATTAAAAAAATAGATGTTTCAAATAAAGTTAATTGGGCAAATGTGAATATGGTTTGAACCAGCCAGAGTATGATAAACTGTCTTCAAAGTTTTCCCCTGTGATTTGAGGTGGAAAAATGTATGTACAGAATTTGTGCTTTCAGCCGCCCTTTATAAATTAGCTTTTGCTTCTGGTTTTGCAGCAGGAGGTGTGTGAGAGGGAGTTCTTCTGTCTTAGGATACACCAGTTATATTAGCAGATGTTTGCAGTTATTCTGTATCTTTGCCATGACCCGTCCCTCTCTCTATGTGAACAAATGTCTATATATGCTTACATATTGTGTCAAAGTATAGATGAGGAGACAAGAGTTTTAGGGGGGTAAAAAAAAAACCTCGTAAGAATGTCCTAAACATTTTTAAATTGCTAAGCAAAACTCTGTAAATGAATCATTCACCTTTTTGTGGAAAAAGCCAATAAAATTGGTTTTCTTCCACTAGAAAATTTCTTCCACCAAAACCAGTTTTTGCTGATACCTTTTACAGACCCACCTAATCTTTAAAAAGCAAACAAATGACAATTTAGGCCTGTATAACATAATGTTTACCATTTCAAGCCCCACAAATGTAGTTAACACTTGTTTAAGAGAGACTTTACTCTTAAATGTTTTAGCTCTACCTATTTAATAGAGTTGGATGTTCAGTGTTGGAAATGGTCAATGTCTGTGTTTGGTGGCTCGTGTTCATTTTTCTCACTGTGGAAGTGATCAGCTCGGAGTAATTTGCTGTGTGCTTATTACTTTCCACCTTTAGTGTCTGTGTACTAATGCTGTGTACTGCTCCTATATTTATATACCTATATATATATATACACACACACACATACACACATATATATATATATATATATATATATATATATTATCAGAGTAATTTTGCTTTGGACTGTCACTCTAACACTATGACTATGATGTAGAGACTACTACAGCTGCAGTGAACGCGAAGGAGTCAATTCCCGTGGTGTAGGTTAGTCTTGGGCTGCAAGTCGACATCTTTTGACCTCTTCTGTTTTATATGATGCTTTTTATTATGTAGGCACTGCCATCCCCGAATATTCCTTGTAAAGATTCATTGAAGAAGTCAATTTAAAAGGAAGACAAAGCCACCGCTGTCTGTAAACTGTAAATATGTACTTTGGCACTTGTACTCCAGTATTCTGAAAATAGAGTTATGATGGAAATGCTGACAGATCCTTAACGGTGGCCAGAGCTACCATGCAGTGCAAAAATAAATTAAGTAAAAATGTATTCTTGAGATTAACAGTGCAAGGCCAATACGTTTTATAAATCTGTCAGTATCTTTTTAATGGAGTGTGTATGTGTAGTTATGTTGAAAGATACACTGTGTATGTGTGTGTACATGCTTTTATGTGAACTACAAGGCACACGCAGGATGTATTTGCCATCTCTAAAACCCATGTTGAAATGTAAGTACAGATTGACAGAAATAGGTGTTTTACTTAAATTCATGCCTAATCTATTGTGGCTCCTTTTTTTTTTTTTTTTTTAACAATATATAGTCTTACAGATTTATTTGACCAGTTTGGTTCTACTTTGCAATTCAGGAAAAATAAGCCTCTTGTCATACAGCAATGCTATTTCTAAAGAATGAAAAGAATTGAAGTAACCAGAGAACCGGTAGTGTGCCTCAAACCTGCTGAGGGCAGTTTATATGTGCATCCTTTTCCCCCTACTCCTTTGGAAGGGTTGATATAGTAATTGTCTAGCTATAGCTAGACAGAGTTGATATTACAAAGCATTTATTTTAGTACCAGAGCATGCTAACTTGATTTGAAAGGAAGGATAGAAACTACTACAACAAAGGGAAATTAAAATACATTGAGTTTGGCAAATAACCAAGGAAAATTAAATGGGATACTCATTAGTAAAGAGACATCAAATTTGAGAAACTGACCTTCTCTTCATTCAGACCAACAAGCCCTGTAGGGGATTGCGGTAGACTGCTTTGTCTTTGATCAGCTAGAAACTGACTTTAGGTGAGCAAAACTTACTAATTGCCACACGTGAATTAGACTGATCTGTTTTCCTTATTTTACAGATGTTCATTTGTGTATGTATATAAAATAATAGCCTAGCATCTTCTCCAGTGTGGGGAGAGTCAAGATCACTATCGTGAGCCTGCTAAAGCCGACTCCAGGAGTGCACTGTGTCACATGGTTTTTCTTAGCACATTTGTTCCATTATCTCAGAGCAGTGTCCCCACTGGGATATGCAAGGAAACCTGGAGAGAGATGACAGATCAAAGTTGACACAGACCTCCATGGTATTTTAGAGATAGATTGTCTAAAACTAGCAGTTTTTTCTTTTTTCTTCTTCTTTCTGATTATGGAGCAGCTAAGGGTATTTTACTGGTTTCCTTGGCCAGGATACCACCCAAATAGAAAATACCAAGCATATTTCAATGATTCTGCTTTCTCCACCAGGTAATAGTATCCACACCTTCCTGTTTATGTGGTCCCTTTCTGTAGAGGCATTTCCAGTCTATTTCAAAGGTTGTTAAATTGCCCTTGGCTTTC